TTTTCTTGTTGCCCAGGTGTGCCCTGTTAGAGTGATTGTTTAAACACTTAATAGCTCTGAATGTCTACTCTTGGTTTGAGACCTGGGTTTTGCCTGCGAACACTGCATTTGTGGTTAAAAAGGATAAACCAACATGAAGACAAGAGAGCTGTCTATGGGAGAAAAGCATGCCATTTTGAAGATGACAAAAGAAGGAAAATCGATCAGAGCCAAGCAATGGGCATAGCCAACACAACAATTTGGACTGTCCTGAAAAAGAAAGAAACCATTGGTGTACTAACAACCAGACATCGAACAGATTGGCCAAGGGACACAACAGCAGTTGATGACAGAAACATTATGAGTGGCATCACCAACAACCTCCACAGGGCCTTATAAACAAAAAGTCAAAGCATAGCACTTTTCCTACATCAAACATTTTGAGGTCAACTTCCACACCGCATTATATGACGTTACATTAATTAAGTTATGTAATATCTATCAAGCTGTTTCATTGCAAGGGATTAGTATCATACGTTTTGACTTTTACTTATCAGGCCAGAAAATAAAGTTAAACTGTCCCAATTTACCCGATACATACCAATATACCTGAATTCACCCTAACTTAGGGAAGGTCTTAAAAAATAGCTCTGGATTTTCATTTTCATGCAAGGACAAGGGAAAAAAAAAAACAGCCCTGTAAAAAAGCCTACTTTCTATTGAAATTACTTTGGCTGCAAGCCTGGAGTTGACTGAATGTCATTAACCCAGGATCTGTGGTTAAATATTATCTAAGGGGCATTAACTGTCACATTTAGAGAAATGTTTAATAATGTACATTTTCCCTCTAGACAGATTAGAGTGACCCACAGTGTCCATAGTTCAGAGGTATACACAGCTGCTGGACAGTACACAGGGCCCTCTGTGGGTTAGTCCTGGAACTGATTTATAAAGGTCAGAGTCTCATCGGCCCTAACTGACCTGAAGTCTTCTGCTGTGACTGTAAAGTAAATGGTGCTGGTGATATTACTACATTATGAATATAGCGCCTCAAGAATATGTCTCAGGCAACTGGACTTAAATGTATTTTTTTTTGGTGTGTGTGTTTTAACCAGCATCAGTGACCTCCCAATTTCTGAAAGCATGATAGTTTTCATTTCAGTGTCATGACTTCTATATTTTTCTATATCTTTCATATGGGTCATATACTGTATGCTGTAGGTGCACATAAAGGAGGAATCCACTAGACAACACTAGACAACAACTGTGACACTGGATAAGCAATTTAACATGGACTCGCTAGCTGATTTATGCCGACATTTGCTAGCCAACTAACCATGACAACTCCTGGAGCTCAGGGACAAAGATGTGCTGCTGAGAAGGCCACAGGATTTATCCATTATGCTCTTTTTTTATCCACAATGCTTTGGATCATGTTGCTATGACAAAAGGAGTGAAAGATCATTTGGCTGATTCTTCCCGATGTCAGGCTAAAGCTATTCACTTCTGCTCAGTATGACCCTTCAGTTCCATTTGAATGGTTAATGAATGGCATTTGAAAGCAACAAGTCAGTCTTGATCAGTAATCCTAGCACCTCACTTTGTACTGTTAAGTGTGTCATTTCCATTATATATATTATATATACAATTCAAAATATACTGTAATATAAAGTTATAGTGTATAGAAGACCAGAGTAGACAAAATGATTACTGATGTATTCCGTAAATACATATTAAAATAATGTTTGTTATTATTATTGTTATTATTAGGCGATGACCTGCATGATTTTATGCACTGCCCTGCTACTACACGATTGGAATGCTTAAGGACTGGGAATTAGCATCCCATGGGATGCAAAAAAAAAGAGCGAGAGTCAGACATGAAGACATGAAGCTCACAGGACAAGCTGCAGGATGCATTTTCAGCATCCTTAGTAACTCCCTAGTCCAAGTCACTCACTCACTCACTTTTAGTACCTGTTTTATCCTGGTCAGGTCAAGGTTGATCAGGAGACTATCCTGGGAACATTGGGTGTGAGATGGGAATCCACCCCGGATAGGATGCCAGGTCATTGCAGGTGAGTGATTTGTAGATAGTGATTTATAGATAGTGGGATTTTGTCACATCCTAATACATACAGTCATTCATTCATACATACATACATTCATACATACATACATTCATACATACATAAATAGATAACCAGTGATTCAGTCCAATCATAATTTTATCTGATGTTTAGTTGATGTTACTTTGTGGTGCAACCTTTGGTGTTAGAAAGGCACTAAATAATTAAATAAATAAATAGATAGATAAATAAATAAATAGATAAAATCCACCAACCAGCAGCTATCTGACAAATGGTAACTGACAAATGTTTCATACAGTGATGTAGGAGCTGCGGAAATGCTCCGGGGGAACAAGGGAAACGCTCTGGGGAAGCATCTGTTCTAAGTTCTTTTCTTAGAACTTATATCTTGCTCATATATACGTGTTAACAAATAACACACGCACATAGACTCGTTCTGTATCTCTTGCTGTAGCCATACCAGTAGGATGAGTTAATGTTGTTAAGCCATGAAAACCAGTCTGACAGTTTTCATGTTCTTTTAGTTGCCTGAGGAACATGTGTGTGATCACACAAACAAATTTATCTTGGTGACTGACTCATTATAAATGTTATGTTGATTCACGCAGATCTGGGAAAAAAACATTTTATAGAGCAACAGCTTTTCAAACAGACGCTGCTGCTCCTGATGGGATTGACTACTATAAGCGTTTTTGCTTGGAATAAAAAGAGCTTCCTGTTTGTTTATCAGAAAATAATAGCCATCAGTTCCCCACAGACAAGGGGAAAATGAATGAAAAAAAGAAGAAAACACTGATATGAAAGATTTTCTCATGACAACTGCAATATATGGAATGAAGCATTCAGTGGTGTTAACTTAAGCCAACCCATTTCAAAGACGGTTTGTTGAACATAAAGGGCTGTTTGCTGTTCCGTTTCACAGCATTAAAATTTCGGCGGAGGCAGGCACTTCAGAAAAACTCATATCAGGCATTAACCTCCAAAAAGCAGTCAAGCATGTCCTTAAATTTCTGTCATCAAAGTCTAGACCCTGAACATATTCATGATTTTATGGTTCAAGCTGAGTCCATGTGCCAAAATGTATTGTTCTAGTATTCTAAGTAAGTAGGCTTCATTTGAAAGGGCATGCACACACACACACACACACACACACATCCAGAGTGTTCCTTTTTGCCATTGCCTGAGCTGAGTGCTCATCCTCAGTCCGAGCACATTCAGAGCACTGCCTGCGAATCCCATCACATCCACATAATCAAAGGCATTTTTTCTGTAGGCCTGGGATGTACACCTGGTACGGACAAGGTGAAAGCACTGAGGCATGTTTTCTGTGGTGAATCGAGCATTCATTATAAGAATGATTGTGAGAGGGTTTTCGGCTCTGTAGCAATACCTGTGGGTATGTTTTGTGATTACATAGTCGTGTTCACTTTGCACAGAGGCCCGAAGTGGGTTTGGGGGAAAGAGGCCTCTCTTCTAGAATATTTGAGTGGATTAGTAGGATCTGAGGTGGAGTCAGTTCCTACACATAGTGATAGAGAATGTAAGAAAAGAGCACAAACTAGAGATTTACTCAAGTCTCGCTTGTGTCGCTGCTAAACCAGTTTTGACCTTGAAGCAATTTTCTATTAGATGTATTATAACAGGATGTCTGGCTGACTAATAGGAAAAACCATAAAAATACAATCCAGTTCCATCAACTTTTTCTAAATACTCAAAAAAAACCTGTAGCTTTTGTACTAAACATCCAATAATTGGTTAATCCAATAGGCTGATGTTTCAGAGGTAGCCAATTCCATCTGAACTTTTAGTGCCATTTTTTCATTAAAATAACCTCATAATAGCACCCACTTGATTGATCTGGTACTTTAAAAGCGTTTTACAAAGCCGGGATAATGGAAAACATAAACGTCCAGCGTGTATCTACACACACTCAATTCACTCACGGTGCTAAAACACCATGGACGTGTCATCAGATAACTGGCTGCTGTTGGGAATGGAATGAGATGTCAGGGATCGACATCGGTGAAATACGACTGCCTACCCATAATTCCCTTGTAAGAGTCGACGGCATTTTTGGGTGATGTGAGAAGGTTACCGCTGAGCAATGAAAGAGCTGAGCAGAATGGGAATGAGGCTAATGAGAGGTGATAAGATTCATTCCAGACCTCAATTTCAAGAGTAGAAGAGCCAGTTGGCTTTGAGAGGACAGATGGGAGTAAACGAGAGGCGGGGTAGAGGTCCTAATAGAAGCCATTAACTGGTGAGAAGAAGGGTGATGTTCCTGGATTTCATGAAGGTGAAGTGCAACTCCAAAGGGTTTAGCTAACATGGTAAAACCACACCAAATTCATGTGAACAAGTTCTTCAAGTGAACATATATTTTTTTTTATTATTTTTTTCTTGTACTCACTGATATTTTGCCATTATGTAGAATCCAGGATAACAATGATTCTGCCATTCTGCCAAATACTATTCTGCCAGATAGAGTTTACACAGAATGGTGCAAAAAACAAACAAACAAAAAAACATGCAGTGACCACTCTTTACAACCATGGTGAGCAGAAAAGCATCTCAGAACACACAAAACAGCAAGCCTTTAGCTGGCTGGGCTTCAACAGAAGACCACATCGGTTACACTCCTGTCCACCAGTAGCAATAATCTGAGGGCACAGGCTCCCTCACTTCCCTTATTAGTGAAGTGAAGTGACATGTGGCCAAGTATGGTGACCCATACTCAGAATTTGCACTCTGCATTTAACCCATCCAAGTGCGCACACACACCGTGAACACACACCTGGAGCCAGTTGGCAGCCTTTTTTGCTGCGGTGCCTGGGGAGCCATTAGGGGGTCCGGTGCCTTGCTCAAGGGTCTCACTGCAGTATTGGGGGTGGAAGAGAGCACTGGTCATTCACTCCCCCCACCTACAATCCCTGCCGGACCTGAGTCTCGAACCCACGACCTTTGGGTTGTAAGGCTGACTCTCTAACCATTAGGCCACAACTGCCCCCGGTGTGACTCCCTTGCATTAATAGTATTTTTTACTTACAGCTAGTTTTACTAAGGCATTCTCACCAGGATATTTCCTCTTCAGGTGTTCACTGATGTAAGTAGTGCTGTCAGGCTAATTCATGTTTACATAGATAGATTACACTGAATGTCACAGTGTCCCCAAACTTTGGATGTTTTCATGCAGAATCTTCATTTTGGATTTACCGACTTATCTATAGTGAAAAATAAACACTTGCGTGTCGTAGAGGAAAAGATTTTACAGGCAGCACAAGAAGGCAGGACACACTGTATGGCAATGAGTTACTCTATGGAAGTTAGAGGTTTAACAGTAAAAGTTGAACCAGAATATTTTGGGTTTTCCTTTAAACACATAATTCTGAGATGAATAGCTAATAGATCATTATTTAAATGTGCTGAAACAGAGACATTCTACAACAACAAGAACAACAACAACAACAACTCCTGTAAAGTACCACATCATTCCATAACTTTAGTTTCTTTAGGCTGTTTTTATAACACACTTCTTGAGCTCTTAAGACTCATTTTCAGATCCAAAATGAGCCACACTTACGCTTTTTGGAACTTCCACATTCAAAAAGCTCAGCTAATCAGTGGTTGGGAAGCTAGCTGTATTTGTAGGACAAGTCTATTTCCACTCTGAGGTCATCATGTTCTCAGAGGTAAAGCCTGCGATTAATGCATAGTCTCAGGGTCATTAACGTTGCGAGGAGCCAGCCGGTGCCAGACAACGCTTGTGCAGCAAGATTTTCACAAAATACAATTACACATTTTAGCCTGGTAAGCTGCAGCAGCAAAACGGTACTGTTAACACTTGACCCTATGATGAGGTGGCAAAACTGGTTTATAGGGAACAGCTTTAACTCGCAGTGAAGGCCAAAAAATAGAAAGTGATAATACCATGTGGCTATTATAAGAGACAGCATGGGCAGAGAAAAAAAAAATTACAATTCCCACTATGAGAAAAAAGAGATAATACAGCATTCACTTTTTGAGTGCACTCTTATTTTTACTTTTCAATTCTTCTTTTTGCTTTTTGCTTTGCACTGTATCTGGCCTCCTGATCTGTTGGCATAGTAGAGAAGGTCAGGCTGCTTAAAACACTTAGTAAATAACATAAGAGAATTAGAAGAGGGTGGAAAAAAGTTGCAGGCCAATAAAAGCATGAAACAGAAATTACATTACAGTCATTAAACAACATTAACTCAAGTGGCATTCACTCATTTAATGAAGTCTTCAATTAGTAATAACAAATGCTTGAAAAAATCCAATTTAGCTTTATCAGTCAAAATCAAATGAGTGTTTCTGGTAACACACACTTCATTATCTATTCATCACCTAATCAACCATCACAAATCCTGAATATGGAGCCTTATTTTTCTTATCAGTGAACCAGAGTTTTAGTTTTAGTGCAATAGTTCAAAGTTATACTTACAAGCTCAATATTGCTTCTAATCCAACCAACATCTCTCTGACTAGTGTGAAGCATTACCAGCTAAAACTTTTTTTTTTCACTTTAAAAATTGTAATTAATCATTATGCACTTGTAGCATGTCTTCTGATATAAGCACCTCTGCATATTTGCCACTTACATGCTATTAGCAAAACCATCAGGGCAAAGTTGGTTTATATTTCCTGAAATTATTATCTGCAAGCATATAATTAGCATTTACATACCAGTCCATACTCTGAGTAGTCAAACTGCTTCAAAGGAGGAGGAATGATGTCATCTTGGTGGTGTAGCTCAACCTGACAACAGTTTTACCTTTAAATGTCAGTGCCTCTCTCTGAATAATGGCACTTAAAGAGAAGCCCAGAATAGAGCCCCGGGAAGCTTTCTGTTTAGCATTGACACACCTGACTATTTATAGGCTGATGAAACCAACTAATTAAGAGAGCCCTGCTTCTTCCTGCTATGACCTGTCTCTGCGGTGAAAGCATGGAGGAGATCTTGCTCTGCTACAGATAGTAATTAAAGGGTTTGTTGAAAATGCACAGAAGTGGATGCATTAAAATGCACTTGGAAGACAAAACCTGAAACACAGTTACAGTGAGCTCATTCTCTCTCTCTCTCTCTCTCTCTCTCTCTCTCTCATATCCTGCCTCTCTCTTCTCTCTCTGTCTCACTATTGCCTTTTTTGGAGCATATCTGCCACCCAACAACCCAATCAGGCACACACAGACAGACCTTTTTTGTCCTCTTCACCTTCAGACTGTACAAGGCTGCCATTTTGCCCAGTATGTGTAATAATTGTATTTTATGTGACCTCGGGAGCAATGATGCTCAGAGAGCAATGATGCACGTCTGGAGTAGGGATTTCTATTCCGACTGCGCCATTGTCTGAAATCCGCTTTAGCGATGCATGATTGGCTCAGCCCTGCCTCAAATATAGCTAGAGAGTTAGGTCTACTTAAGTGTCCAAAAGGTTCATCATTCAGTTTAGTTTTCAGGGCTACAGCTAAGCCCTCACAGCTAAAAGTCCTGCTGAATAAGAAGCAAATAAGAACATTGCTTAAATGTAATATGCAAACATACCTCAGCACAAAAGACCAAACTTGGAAGATGGACAACTCCTCATCACACTGGAGGTACATGTGCATAGTAAATAGTAAACAATTTAATAGATAAGTGTTTGTGCATGTGTGTGTGCATGTGTGTTTGTGTGTGTTTTTAGGTGGGTGGCATGTGTAGAATGCTTAATGGCCAACTGTGTAGTTTTATTTCCACAGCAATCAAATATAGTTGTGCTGTATTTCTCAAATATCTCAAAGTCAAGGAAGCAGGCATTTCAAAACAGGCCTTTTCAAATTGCTAGTCTAGATCTTATCAAGGCTTATAATGAGTGAAATGGTTTCTATGTATTCCTGTTTCTGGTGTAAATACGAACACCACTGAAAATTAAAGTGTGATGTCAAAATTCAGAAGCTGGGCATTGATGGGCATGTAGGGCTGAAAACATTCTTGTAAATCTTTCAGCTCATTGGTCAGAAATGCAACAATTTAAAACAACACTGCAAAAAATGAGATCTTAGCAAGTGAAAATATCTTGAATATAGTCACATATGTCTAGTATTTCCTATTATAAGATCTTCATATGTCAAATATAAGATTATTAAACCTGTTTCTATACTTTTTTTAATTTCAAACTTGAAATTTTCTTGTTCTATTGGCAGATAATTTTACTAATTTTAAGCATTAATTTCTAGAAAGAAGCAAAATTTGCTGTCAATAGAATAAGAAAGCTTAAAGCTTTAAAGCTTAAAATTAGTAAAAAAATGTCTCAAAATACATTTAATAATCTTATATTTGATTAATTGTAATCTTATAATAGGAAATACTAGATAAATTTGACTATATTCAAAATATTTTCACTTGCTAAGATGTCAGTGAACAAACCAAGTGTGCGAAGAGATCACAAAAATCATCCGAGCATGGAGAACACAGAGCCACTGCTTAATAAATTACTAGATAGACTGTTACAGCTCTATCCTTTGGCTCAGTTTGTGCCTCACAGCTCAGTTTAGCAGCTCTCATCTACAAAAATGCTTCCCGCAACCTAAAATACACAGCGTGTGTGGTTTACTTCCTAAAGTTGGGCTGATTCATGGTCAAAATCACTCTCTCACTACAATCAAACCACACTAGTTCACTTGCGCAACACATTATTTCATCTGTCTAAACGAGATACACCAAGAGGAAATACGCACCAGGGTTCAATTCAAATGGATTAAATGCTGCATATAAAGAAGCACTTTAACCACTGATCTAATATGCCTGGATTGGTCACACACCAACACTTCTTAATATTTCTAAGTACACACTCGCTCGCTTTGCCTGTCTTTCACACACATTGGCTCATGTGCGACACAACACAGCGTCATGCAATCAGATGGATGAGTCCTCCACCAACAAATCATAATCAACCATATTATCATGGTCAATGCAGACATGTTTCTGATTATAAGGCAGCTTGTGAACTAGCAGGTGCATGGCATGGAGCAGTTGATGTTCTTCCAAAGAACTGGCAAGTTTATTTCCTTCTTCTTCTTGAGAAAAGGCTTTAGATGGTAGAGGCCTTGAAGAAGCATATCATTTCCTTCTGTCAATTTTCTAGCAGCTGACCGGACACTAATGACTATCAACCACAGCGAAGGCAACAGTGACGTGGTCAGAGCAAATTCATATTGGCACACACTGTACGCACACATTTCCATTCATTTATTCTGCATTCATTTTCTTTCCACTTCTCCTGATGGGGTTCATGGTGGCCACAGGCTGAGAAGGTCAGTCCAGACTTCTTTATATCCAACCACAGACTCCAGCCCCTCACTAGGGATCTCAAAATGTTCCCAAGCCAACTTTGAGATATAACCCCTCAAATGTGGCGAGGTACAAAGATGACTAAGGGTACCCTGCTCAAATTAGGGGTTACCACAACCTACTCCTGCAGCCAGGTTTCAGGGTGATGTCTGGTGACCCGGCCACCCACAAAATCTGGTCGGTTGTAGCCCAAAATGTAGCCTCACCATCTGTAAGATGAAAGGCTGAGGTCAGGTGCAATGCCAGACAGGCAGCAGGCATGTGATGGACAGTCTTAGATGGATTAGACCTTTTCCACTGAAAGTGAAGTCCTAGAGGATACATAATAAAAACGTTTGACAGATAAAAAAACCTACACATTTCATTCTATTTAAAATTGACATACAAATGCCCCTCACCTGTTTTAGTAAATAAATACTGAATACTGTATGCATTGAGAGGTAGCATGTTAAAACTCTGCTTTATTCAAGGAATAACTTCAAAACTAAGCCATATGATGGACATGGTTATCAATGGAGGGGTTGGGATTATTCTCTTTATTCCTTGTGCCCTAAGCCTCCAAAATGTCCGCACACAGGCCTGCACTCAATTTTTTGACATACACATCACATTATTTATGCATGTTTTTTTTTCTAGATAAGGTGAGGGCCTGTCAT